AGGATAAATTAGTCCTAAGGTTGAGGATGATAATCTGAGCATCTAAGATGACCAGTAATGTTAATACAGGTTACAGGTTTAAAGGGTTTAAAGTAGAACACCCAAGCAGAAGTGTTAGGTATAGCAATTGATAGCGAATCTTTGGGTGAACTCCTTAAATAGGTAATATAGAAAAGTTACATGTATAGCAATTGTATGCTCTCCTGTAGTGGTTTATTGAACTACAAAACCAATAAGTGATTAATAAAAGTCAAAAGACCAAAAAGGTTATCTTAATACCAAAAAATATATATATATATTTTATAAGCAAAGTATATTTTATATTATTAATAAATTATTATTTTATTTAAAAATTACTAAATATAATTTAATTTTTTAGATAAATTTGTTTAAAATATAGTTAAGCAATAAAGCTTATATAGTAAATATTTATTTATTATACAATAATTATCATAACTAGCATCAAATAAAAAAGATTATTCTTCAGTCTACTATGATCTGCATCAATTGATAATTTTAGTTTTTTTATTTACCGATCACAATAACAAAATTATCATATGCAGATCGTTATTGACAGAAGGATAATACCATTACTAGGCATGTAAGAGACCAATAATTGCATTATTCATCAAAGATCTTTTAGATGATATTTAGCCACTATCATGGCTGAATACATCTAACAAATCTTAGATGAATAATAATGTTATTTGTCAAAATTTTTGACAGATAAATTTTCAGTTATTGGCCGCTTTATGGCCAATAACTGATTATTCATCAAAAATTTTGACAAATAACTGCAGTTATTGGTCACTACATGACTAATAACTATATATTACCTATATAAAAAACTTGAATATATATAATATAAATTGCCCTGTTTTTAATTGTTAAAATATAAAAATATTCATAACAAAACAAGACTTAGAGACTATATAATAAACTTGATACAATATAATATAACATATATATATTGTTATATATATATAATAAAACTTTTGCAATAACTTTAAATTCTAAAAAAATTATTAAACAATTGTTTATATACATTATTAAACTTAAATCATCTAATTTTGTATATAGTATTTTAATTTTTAGATTAATTATACTTTGAATTAAAGAATATTTTAACAACTTTAAAATTTTAATACAGTAACTAAATATTGATGCAAAGTCTAATTAATTTATCTTAAAAAAAATTTATTAATCAGATAATTCAATGCTTATTTAAATTCAAATTAATGCTTATATTTTAAACTAAGTTAGCATTATAATAAAAAAAACTTTTATAGATTATAATTTTATAAATATATATAAACTATAACTATATATCTTTTTATATTTTAATTTTATTACAATAAAATAATTTAACTAAAAAGCTTCTACTATAACTTAAATCAAAAGAGTATTATATATATTTTACTATATTAAATCAAAATTTATTGAAAAACTACATTAAGCTTCTTATTGAATTAACATTTACTAAATAGAACTAATAAATAATTTTTAGCTAACTATCACAAAGTAATTAATAAAAAAATTCATATTTATATTTGTAAAATTTATAAAATTAAAATTTTTTAATTCTGATACTTATAATTATATATTTAATTTTATAATTTTAAAAATTATATTTAATATATATTAAATATTGAAATATATAAAATATAGAACTCAAACATGTTTTATAATATTTTTATATATGTAATAAAAAAAGTATATTATTTTTTATTGCCAGTGGTTATATTGCTGATCACATAATTAATAATATAAATCAACCAATCAAATGCCAATATAGTTATAGTGTGATAGTAACTATAATAATAACAAAGTTATATAGTATCATGCAGGGGTTCAATAGAACAAAATCGAACTTTTATTTCAATTACTTGTTCAAAACTAGTGCATATGTGCATAAATAGTACTTTATAAAGGAAAGTTGCCTATAAGGAAAAGTCTAGCACTGCAATAACAAATCAATTAGTAAAACCAAAGTAGGTGCAAAGTATAATTCAAACTGTTAAACTGATATTAAATAAATGAACATTTATTAACTTACAATAATTAGTACTTATAGAGCAATAAGTAATAATTGTAGTTCGACAACTACAAGCAAACAAAAAAAAAAAAAACAGAAATATTGTACTTCAACAAAATATAAGCAAATAGTCTTTGGTGTTTTTTTTTTCTTAAAGAGCATGATCCTACAAGAATCTCAAACTGAAGAAATATTAGATAAGTTGGCATTCTATATAATAATTTATGTTAGCATGCACTTATATTTAACTAATTCTTTGACTTTATTAATTTGGGCTATTTATTGCACTAGAATCATTATCTTATATGGAAGTGTTCTAGGTGTATGGGGAATTTAAAGTATGCTCTATAGTCCAAGCTTTGTAATCCACAATAATTTTTTTAATTTGAATAGAAAAAATAATCTATTTTACCCAAATTACAATATACATCAGTTAATCAAAATAATCAAATAGAAACTGAAGATGATAGGTCTGAAGCTATTACTGATTCTGATGATTCTGATGCTATTATATGGCTAATTATTTCTGGTGCTAACTTTCTTTCTTGGATGTCACTTAAAAAAAATCTTGAACATTATAGAAAGGAAAATGGGTTTAAACCAATAAAAGGACAATGAAATACAGACAATGAAACTGAAAATATTATTTGTTGATGCTTCGAGTGTGAATCCTCTGGAGATCCAAAACCAAAACATAATATTGATCATATTCAAGCTCGACAAACATTTTCAAAAAAAACATAGTGCCTATGGCAATGCAATTCTAGCTATAGAAAAACCAAACAAAAAATTTACAATAATAAACTTATTGAAAAGTATAATCATAGCCTTACACCACATCATGAGAAATTTGCACCATCTTTGTGATAACTATCACAGGACATTTTAAATAAAATTAAGTTTATAACCAAAAAATATGAATATAATGCTAGACAGCAAAGACAGTATCTTGTCAATAAGTTTCCTGGTGTTAATATTTATTCTAAAGATCTTTATAATGCAATCTGATGTTGCAAAACTCCTGCTGCTTCAAAAATTAACTAGAATGCTGCTCTGATACTTGAATATTTGATTTTTAAGCAGCATGAAGATCCAAATTAGAAGGTTAACATGTATTTTGAAGGTGTTGATACTTATTTAGCCTGTCTTTTTTGGCAGAGCCCAACTTAGTCTATGTTGTATGAACAGTTTTATGATGTAGTCATAAATGATAATACTTATAAAACAAATATTTATAGAATATTATTAAATATTTTTGTTGATATTGATTCTTATAACCAAACAAGAATGCTTGCACAAGCACTTGTTCAAGATGAAACATAAACTACCTTTGAATAAATATTGCAATTCTTAAAACATTTAAATAATAATCTTATACCACAAACTATTTTTACAGATAGTGATCCTGAACTGGTCGCTGCAATTTATAACAAATTTCCTAATACCAAACATCAGCATTGCTTGTTTCACATTAGCCAGAATCTTGCTAAAAACCTTGCATGAAAGCTTGGTCAAGTTCAATATAAAAATTTTTTTGAACAATTTTCTTGTATACATAATAGCAAATATGAAGAATTTTTCAAAAGTAGGTGGCAACAATTAGTGAATAATTTTCCTGAACATAAATGTTATCTGTATTGATTATATAGATTATGACATGCATAGGCTTTGGTTTACACTTGCACAACCTTTTGTACTAGTATGAATAGTACAAATGTGTCGAATGCATTAATGGCATATTAAAGACTGAAGTTGGAGCACAAACAACACTTACAAAATTAGTAGAAGGTATCGAAAAACAGATTAAAAATGAAGCCAAATGCCAACATGAATCTGAATATAAAAATCAGCTTCCATCTGTTGGTCTACCTACTATTCATAGTACTTTTTTTTTCTAAATTGATGAAATTTTAAAAAAACATTTGACATTTGAAGCACTTGCTTGTCAAAGACTTCAGATTAGTTAATCTTGTCTTTACTGCCTATATAGAATTAACAATTCAATCTTTAACCAAGTAAGTATTTAATCAAGATTATCTTAAGTTTATAACTGATTACTAATTCATTTGTGTAATTAGAATGATAACTTAAAATATTCTGCTAGATTTCTCAAGAATGATTATTAGAAAGGTCACATTCTACTCTCATCAATGCTTAAATTAGTTGAAACTCAAAGTATTGATGAAATTTGGCAAATTAGATTATTTAGTAATTCAGTGCCTTATAGTAAACATTATATTATAGTTCTATATAATAGAACTCATTTATGTTCTTGTATATTACTTATTGTCAGAGGTTTTTTTGTTGACACTTCTTTTCTGTTCTGGTTGTCTCCTCACTTATTAAGTTTCAAGTACAAATAATATCTCGATAATGGTTTATGAATCCTACAAATGTAATTAAACAATCAAGTACTATTACTATTACAAACACTGTAACAAATATACAGAAGATACAAAATGATGAATCAAGTGGTGGCTTTGCTATAATTGAACAGATTAGAGGACCAGACTGTTTTAACAATAAAGTTCAATGATACATATTCAAGAAAGCTTTGTATTGTCAAGGCATTGGCATTGCTAAAAAAGGTGTCCATGTTGCACTAGATAGTGATACTATGAATGAGTTTATTGGCCTAATGCACATCTTTATTGAATCAAAATCTATTCAAGTTGACAACTCATTAAGATCAGATATTATTGGATTAATAACAAATTCTCATGTTATTTCGCATCATAGTTGACCAATGAAACAGTTATATGACTTTTTAGAAGTTATTAACAAATCAAATTCTCATAAAAGTCTTAAATCTAATAAAGTACTTAATAAATCTGATATTACAAACAAATTAATGCACAAATGTTCCTATTGTAATAATACAGGTCACTATGCTAATATCTGTTAACTAAATTCTAAAAACAAAAAAAAAAGTAAGCACTAAATTTAGTTAGAGTTAGGGTGAAGGTGTTAGGTTATTAGTAGTTATAGTTAGAGTTAATATATTAGGTGTTTAGTTTTATGTAATGTAATTTATATTCTGAATTGGCAATCTGAATTTAGTGAATTCAATATTACACTTTGCACTGTGAATTCTCAAAATAGCATTATTTGAAAGTCTTGTCCCTAAAATAGCATAGCTGCTTTAAATGAGTAATGAAAAAGGAAAACCTGTAAATTATTTCACTTATTATTAAGATAATGAGTGAAATGATTTATAGGTTTTTCTTTTTCATCACTCAAATAATGCTTTTGTCTGTTCTGAAATAACACTTATTTCATATCACATATTAATATTAGTAATAATTAGACTTGATGTACCTATTTCAATGGCTAAACAGTGAATCTAATTGGTTTGTCTAATCAAACTAACCAACCAGATTCTTTGTTTAGCTTACTGAAATAGGTGTTTGAGAATGCTCTTAGGAATTAATTTTTTATATCAAAATAGTCATATTCAAACTAATGCACAAATGATCAGGATAACTTGCAGATGCTTGTTGTTTGAAGATTTTATGGTAGTAACAATATTCGTAATGATCATCATTAGACTTTGTCTGTCCCAAATTCAAAATATATAATGCTATTTAGACCCAAGTAAAATATGCTATAGTTATTTGTTTATGCAGCCATTAAGATCATTTGCAGAAAAAAAAATTCTAGTTTATCTAAAATGAATGCTCTAATTCAAGTGGATTCCAAAAAAATTTTGGTTTGTTCTAACTTACAACAAATATGTTATAATGAAATAATATCTTTATACCAGAGTTGGACTTAAATTAAATTAGAAATTAGTAAATTATATGCAAATTGCTTAAAAAAAAGCTTTTACTATGTGATTTCTTATGGAGATGCTTACAGAAAAAGCAGAGAATAGAACTATATAATATATAACCCCATCACCTGCTTTTGCTGTGTAAGCATGCCCATATTATTAATTAATATATTCATATATTTTGTATTACTTGTATGTAACACAAATTATATGACTGGTGATATTGCCATTAGTGGTAAATAGCAAAATTCATAAAAAAAATATATAATAAGAATTTATAAATTAAAATATGTTCATTGTGATTTTTATAATAAAGATACTTTTTAAATTATTAATTGTAAAAGATCTTTTTAACAGAAAATAACATATCTAATCCAAAGTGAATTCTGCACATAGTATAATCAATTAAAATTAAAATAAATAATTTAATTTTAATTAATTATATTGTATATGAAGTTAATTTTAAGTTAAATATATTCTTTTCTGCTAGTCTTTTTATAGTTATCTATTAAACTTTAAACTTGCATTAAATGTTTATAATAATTTATGACCTGAATTCTCTGAAAAAAATATTCAAATATTTTATTTAATTAGATAGAAAATATATGTATTCTAACTTATATAGCTAATCTAGTTAGTATATATTATTTAGAGTAAAACAGGTACCAGAATTGCTCTAACCTAATGCTGTCTAAACCATGTCTTCTTACAATAAGAATGCTACTTAAATAAATCAACTATTGTGTATTAATTGTATCTTGATAACTAGAAACAAGATATCTAATTAAAACAATGTAGTAATAATACAGAATTGAAAACTATTATTGTTTGTTAAGGTAAATCTGTCAGATTAGACTAGTTGTTTGTGTCATAGAAAACCATTCAAGATCCTAATCATAATGACTAATCTGAAACTATTGAGTTCAGTAAGAAAATATTTGATCTTAAGCCTCTATGCCATCTCTTTTTGTGAGACACTATTTTTTTTATATAAGTGCATCTTTTTTAAGTTAGTAAAAAGAGAGTTAGCTAGAAAAAAGAGTAGTAAACATAAAAACTGTAATAATAATAAACCAAGACTTTGCACTCATGTCTTAACCTTGCCAAATTGTTCTGTCTCTTCCTTGATGCAATATTAAAATGCATTCTTGTGAATATATCAATTTTTGCTACTATTGAATAGTTGAAAGCAGTCAACAGAATAACTGTTGTAGATGCTTATCTTTCAGATTCAGTTGAATTTTGATGGGAAAACCAAAAGGCTAAAAGGCAAGGGAATCAGTATTGGGATAATGAATACACTCCTGATCAAAGTTTTGTGCATCAATTTCGGTTTAACTTTTGTAACCCAGCCCTAATAACTCAGTGGAGTACTGAGCTGTTAACACGACGACAACGTATTCGAAAAACATGGATCAACATGCGAATGATATGTTGGTAAATACGTTATCTATTTCTGTCAAAGTTGGATTCCCGCACTTTAATTCTGCAACTCTTTATTTCGTTTTCTGATCGCAAAATTAATACACAAATAGAAATTTTATAAGATCCAATTTATTTCCGAAGTACGCTATTTTTTTAATTCCGAAACCCACTATCAAATGATTTTAATTGTAAATGTAGTACTTTATTAATGAATTATTTATATTTCGCCCGTGAACATTTCTGATGTTATTTTTATGATGAGTTATGCCGTGTAAATATCAAAAATTATTCCACAGGCATTACGTAATCATTAAAATTTTTAATCGGAATGTTACGGGCATAGGAACCGTGAAATATATCAGATATTCACAACAGCCAGTGGAATATCTATTACATATACCTCACTAAATTAAACCTGGAAATGCTTTCAATTAAGATTTCTAGATTTTTATTTTGACAAATACTTGTAATAACTATTTATAACATGACATGTTCAAAACAGTAATAGTAGGGGTTTCAAATTCAATAAAATAAGTATAATTTTTTAATATTGAGTTGGTTATAATAAATTATAAGTTGGATAAATAACATTAGAATTATTATTTCTCAACTTGGAAATTCCAGTAGATTTAAATCTGATTCTCCTATTTAGAAATATCAGGATTATCCTCTTCAGCTTTACGTCTTATAGAATATTCACGAATAACTGAGGCAAAATGAATCTATAGAGTACAGACAAATTGATTAATAATTTAGCATGATCTGTTATTTAAGGCTGATTAAATAGGAATTGTATTAAATCATATTAACATACCGAGATAATGGCTGATATTCCATAACCCACAAGGTTTGTTATCGCAGCAATATTATATGCAGTATTACAATCATTTTCTCTAGTATTATCATTATTCTTACAAGAATCAATAATTTTTTGTTTATATGCAGCGGTAATAATGATCAAAAATATATAAAATAGAATTTGTCCTATTACAACAACATAAAATAGTGTAGAATAAATTTTTAAAAGAGCAGGACTTTCCTAATGTATTATAAAAAGGTTAGTAAGTTTCATAATAATTAAAGCTACTGTATAAAACCATCACTTATATAATACATACCGCACAGCAAACAACAATAAGCCCAAAAGCAGTTATTAGAAAGATTATAACATAAACAATTAAATGCAAATAAAAGTATCCATAATCGTAGTCTAAAAAAATATAAGTTCATATAATTAATGTCAAAATAGAGAAACAAAACTATGTAAATAAATAAATAGTACTTACATAAGCAATCTACGCAAATGCTTGAGGTCGAGTTTTTGTCACCCAATGTTACCGTCACATTCTCCGGCGAGGTATTTTGAGAGCCATGGGAAGCGATAACTCTTATAGAATTGATAACGGTAGCTAATGCTGCAAGCTACAGTTAGAAAATAATTTTAGTTGGCACACAAATAATCTCAATTGATATATGAGTACATATTGAAAGATAACTTGCCAGCCATAAAATTGTTATAATAATAACACCCGCTCTTAGAGGAATGCAACAACAACAATGTGTCGGTTTGGTACATGAAGCCATTTGAATTAATAAAAAACAATAAGTAATTGGTTTAAATCCAAGCTCGCAGGAGATTAAAAGTAAGTCTATTTATAAGAGAAGTAATATTGTCGATTATACTATGCTAAAATTATATCGATAGAAAGTGCGCACGTACGTATATCTCCGCTTTTAGAAAGATCATTGACAAGTAGCGACAAGAACGTTATGGATAAATTAAATTTAGTGAATGGCGTAAAATTTCCTGATTCAATAGAAGGAGCACCATATTTCGGAATTTATTTCTTTATAAAGAATATATTAGTAACAATAATACAATTTCATCATTAGAAAATGAATTTGGACTTTCAAATTTCTCACTTGTACATACGTAATGTAAACAATTTGTTTCATACACGTGATGTACGTTCGTGAAGATTTTTCATGTTTTTGGTATACTACTACCTTCATTATTCTTCATCAATTGTCACGAATTCCTCGTGAAATTTTAGAAATGGGCTTAGATAGTGTTACCCGGTAGAGTAAGGTAATGTATTAACGTTATTGTCATTATTGTTTATAATTGCTTACAAATTTACCTTCAATATTGCTATTTTTGTACTTGTATTTTTGTGTAATAAATTCCCCAGATTTCTCTATTGTAAATGATAAACAATTATGCCATTTATGTATCGTAGTGTGGTCGGTGCGATCGTGTAATCAGTGTGATATCGATCACACACGGATAACTTATAAAATATGAATGAGCCAGATTTTGACACGTCATTATAATGGTAATTTAAAGAAAAATATATTATTTAGTTTTATATAAGTAATATGTAAAATATTATAATGAACTCTATCATCATTTAGTTATAAAGCCATGTCATAAATCCTGCCAGATAGTTTTCATGCTCTATCAGTACATGTGGTGATAGTAGGGTAAAAAAATAAAGTGGTGCATCTGTTGTGCATTGCTACCTGCTGATCTTAGCAAATGTTTTTAGTAGGTTTATAAAATGCTATTAAAAGACCTGTATTACATTTGAATTTTGTCACATGTAACATATATGAAGATTGCTTCACAGCTGTTTTCAAAAAAATGTGGGAAAACGATTACCATATAACCATGTGAGGAATCGATTAATTTGAAAATTCTGGTTAGTAAAAATTAAGATATGAATAGTACGATTTTAAAAACTCGGAAATCGGAAAAATGTCGTTAATTCATCATGGTACAGTGATCTATATCTTTCCATGACTTTTTGAAACCGGCTATAATTAGTGATGTACCGCGTACAGTACTATACGTACAGTACTGTACGTACTGTACGTACTGTACGCTAAATTTTTTGCCGATCAGTTTTTCTAGCCAATCAGATGCAGGAAAAGAACTATACGTACAGTACGACTGTACACTAAAATTTTTCAGGTATAATATAAATGGCACATCACTAGCTATAATGTAGTATTAGGAGTGATGGGTAAATTTAGATTTTCGGGCTCATGGGAATTTTCGGAATTGCTTATTGTTTCGGAATGTTTTGGAATCTTAAAAATTTCAGCTGGGCTTCCGATATACTAATTTCAATATTGCATTTAGTAAATATATAGGTTGTGGCACTTGGTGATGTGTCACGTAAAGTACAATACGCAAAAAAAAGGTTTAGAATATTCTAGATCAAAATCATTAAAGTATCGCTATCTCAAAGTTTTGATTATGAAACTGCCTTACGCATTCTATCATAAATTGATTCTTGCACAATGTTACATATAAATGCTAAGTTGGGTGTGCGATATACTATGTATGTATGGATACCCAAATATCCATATAATAAGTATATTATCGTACGGGTATAGTTGGCGGTTAATTACTGAATTATGGCATTACGGCATTCTACCATGCGGTAGAATTAATTTTACCACAGTACCTAATTGCCGTAAATATTATACGCCGTAACAGTAATGCCGTAACAGTAATGTGGTAACCGTAATACTGTAATTGTAATGTTATAATATCACAACATAATACCTTACCAAAAGACCTAGCTATTATGTCAACTTTGTTACAGTAAATTTTCAACTTAATTGTTTAATAAAAATAAAATTTATTAAGAAACAATTTAATAAATAATAAATATATACAAAATAAATTACAAATAAAATGAAAATTATTAAATAAAAATATTTAAACTATTATATTTTTGAACTATATATTATAGTATAAAAATTCTGTAATAAGAAAAAATTTAAATAATAATTATAATGATAAAAACTTACAATAGAAAAAAAAATTATAATAAATAATGTAAATAATTAATATATATATGTAAATTATATTTGAATTTTGAAATTCTTCAGCAAGTATTGTTTCTAAATGAATATTTGAATTTTTTCATTTTCTAATTGTTATTGATTTAAAATAAATTAGTTGTAATTTCATTATTATAAAAAAATTCAAATCTATTAATTCTATTATAAATAAATTATTAAAATTAGTTTCATTTTTTTTCATTATTTAATCAAAACTATTATCTTCATTTTTATCTTTATTTTCATTTTTATTAAAAAGATTATTAATTTCAACTAAATTTTCTGATATTTTATTAACTATAGTTTTAAGTTTTTCTTCATTAAAATTTTCTTTATAAAATTTTAATTCAATTTTTATATTTGTAATATAAAATAAATAAATTTATGTCATTAATTAAAGATGATTAATATTTAATTTATAAAAATTTTTAAATATAAATTAAAAAAATTAATAAATTATTATTTTGTTATGATCCAAAATAGAATCATCATTAATATGTACAAAATTGGTAGTAATATAGCATATATAACATATATAGTATATTGAAATCTCCTAAGTCAGCAAGTCTGTTGCTAATTGAAGGTTGACTTTGTGTAATGTTCAGATAGCTTTCGGTCAAAAGAGGCATGTAGATTTGGTGAATGATTTCGATTCAGGTCTGGCTTATTTTAGATAGTTTACACTACATCGAGACTATCATTCTAATTCTTTTAAAATTGCAGTATTTCACACTATGTCAGGAATACTAGACTAATGGGGGTGGAATTTATTAATATTATGGGTAAGTATCTTATTATGATGATAGTTCTTTACAGTCACTCGTAGAAAAATCTTTATTTGATGTGTGCAAGATAAGTTGTTTATTATTTCTTATATTTAAATCCACCTTATTATTAGAACAGAATTACAGGTTATTTATAAGCAAAATTCTATCTATTGTTAGGGTGCCAATATTCATTATTGTGCTTATAATGATGATAGTGCTTATATCACATATATTAATTATACTGATTATAATCAATATATGCAATATACACATTATAATCATTATAAGTACAGAATTCCAACTTTGGTGAGATCTTCCTAGCCAAGACAAAATCGTAACTACTGATCGTGTGATGATGATCTTCCAATGAAATTAGTATTAGTTAATCATGTGTTCTGGGTCTAACAATATATAGTATATATAACATATATAGCATATATAGCATATATAGTATATATAGCGTATATAGTATATATAGTATATATAGCATAGTAAATATATAGCATAAGTAGTATATTTAGTGTAAATAGTATATTTAGCAAATAGAGAAAAAGTATATAAGTAATACACTTAAAATGTAAAGAAGAAAAAGAACATACAAGATATAATAAAGAATATCCATCTTATACTTGCCAAATTCAACATTTTTTTAGTATAGTAATATTCTACATTACATAAATGACTTTATAAATAAGAAATTTTAGAATAGTTTTGATCAATATTGTTACAATTTTAAATTAAATAATATTTATATTTTATTCTTTTATTTCTAACATCTAATTTAAAATTAAAATACTTTTTTATAAACAGTTTGATGAAGAACAATAGTAAATATTTTAATGCTAATTATTATATATAATTATTTGATTATTTATAAGTTGTCTACCAAATTTTAGATATATTATAATCTTCATATCATATAGTTCAGTTTTTTTTAAATATTTTCTAAATTAGATTAATAAAATTTTATAATTATTTACATTTTTACTAAATTTTTTCAAATTTTATAATATGTAAATAAATCTTACAAAATACTTTATCTTTATATTCTTCTTTTTTTTTCATTTTGAAGTGGCAATCTTGTCTGTAGGTCTTTATTTAAGTAATATATGATTACATTCTATATACAAAGTTTATCAATGAAACTACAATTAGCCATATGTACAACTTTAGTTATTGTCTATTTAAAGGTTCTGTCTACAGATTACCTGCTAATTGCTATACCTGAAACTTGTCTGTGAGTTCTTTGTTTAAAGCTTCTAATTTTAACACTATTATATATATATGCAACATCTATATTATCATTATAGGACATATTAGATTAGGGCTATTTGGTTACTATTTATATCAAGATACTACCTCATTGGATGTTACCAAGTATTCATAGCTCTTATTTCATTCTTGATGCAAGCTTACTAAGCTGGTACTAAGATTATCACTTAGATACAATTTAGTATATCACATATTTACTAAATCAGTTTTAATGCCAGAAGTATTTGAATTTTAGTAAGTCTATTTCTTTTCTATAGCTTTCTTCTATATTCATCATATTATCTGCTAGTATGCCTTCTCTCCATTTCTGATATATTCATCACATCTCTCACATCGAGCACCAACTCTCCATATTAGGAAACTTCTTTCTGGAAACTTCCTTATACACTAATTTTTTATTTATATAGACTTAGCTATAGGGCTTTATATACATTCATATGCTTCTATAGATTACAGAGTTTTGCCTCCAGCTAGAATTGAACTATCAACCTTGTTTGTGAAGGAAGGGGTGCCTAGACCACTAGGCTATGAAACCCCATCTCTTAGCTTTATATTTTTTATTTAAAATAAAATTATATTATATTAATAAAATATAAATTTTTAAAAATTTGTATATTTTTAAATTTAATAATAAAATATAATTAAGAAATATTATATTTATAACACTTATGTTATATAATACCTATATAGTTTTAATTATGATTAAGGTCCAGCTTTAAGATAAATAGATGTTTTTTTATTATACAATATATATTAGATATAAGATCTTAATAGGTCCTAATTTCAGTTCTTATAAGGTTTTTGAAAGTTCTAAACATTTTTACTTAGAGTATCTAATCCTGTTTACTTAGTATGTTTTTAAGATATTACATAAGATGTTATATAACATAGTGTTATAAATATAATTATCATATAATTAATTATATCTCTATATTTAAAATATAAAAAATAATTAAGAAGATATATTAAGATATAAAATTATTTTTAATATTTATTATAAATTTTGATACATTATTTTTTAAAATTATAATTTATTATATTGGAAATTTTTTAATTGTAATTATTATTTTAACTAATTCTAAAAAACATAATAT